GCAAACGCGAGGTGTTACTATTCTTTGTTCACGATTAAGCTGACGTTTCGGCGGATTTCGCCTTCTTCAGAGCCTGGAAAATAGTTCTACATGTTGGAATAAACCACAGGAAGGATTATGAGACCTATAGATGTCTTACCGGGTACTCCCGAAAAACCTTTATGACACTTACAGGTGTCACTCGTCGTGGGAGCGTTAATAGAGGGTAAGCTCTAGGTGTGCAAATTGATTGCAGACTTTCATGTAAATCTTTCTGTGAACCTGCAAGTCTTTTTTCAGGGTAAATCTCCTTCTGATCGAGCAAAGCTTAAGCCAGATTCAGAGGTCGTGATTGATGGCGTTAAAGTGCCTGTTGACCAAGCGCTCTGTAATGAGGCATTCGTAATAAGCGATATTTTCAATCTAAACGAAATGGATGCCCTTGAACTTGTACTTTCTGGTAAGTCAGTAACTGTTAACTCGTTTATAGGTGAAATCGGTATCTTTGTTATGTGGTGTAATTTGAGCGAAAAATGAGTTATAGTGTGAGCTGAAAGTTTGGAAGTATCAAGATATTGAAAGAAGATTGTTTCGTATATAATGTTTCGTAAAAGTAGTCAGGGAGTACGTATACCGTTCTACAGCTCATAAAGAATCCCACGGGCTCCTGTAATTGGATAGTTAATGTTGACTACATCTAATTCTTTACTAAGGAGCGTGTAGCGCAGTGCTCGAAAGCGCTCTATAGAACATATGGGATCAATCCCTACGCCACAAACCCACCAAGCTTTCTATCCCTCTGGGGTCAGCAAAGTGGTGCCAGAGTTGTCTGGGAGAATAGCAGCACTAGGTCGATGTATCGGTAGACCACCGCGAGTCATTGTAAAGGCCAGATATCCATTCAACCGCCCCAACGATGCTTAATGAAGTCGAATACATGGGACATCCCACAGGGACTGATCAACATCGAGAGCTTTATCTTTTTTTCATTAATTCATTGCTGCGAAGCATTTAACTGTTAACAAAGGTTATTCTTTCCAGGTGAAAGTCAGAAAATTCATTTCGACTGTCTCAGTCGTGGTTTGATCGCCGTGGTCTGCTACTACGATATGCACAGGCTTCTTGCTGTTATATTAAGGATGGTATTAAAGTGGGAGAAAGACTCTATGAGCGACGTGCTTCGTTCATTCATTGAACAGAATTTTGTACAACGCACTGTGTTTCAACAACTGCTGCGTAAGGCCTTTCGCATTCGAAAAGGAATTCTGCTTACTAAATAGGATCACACATTTCAAACAATCCTGTAGAATGTAACTTTTTATCCACTGCCTATTGTTTTGTCATGGCAGGGAATTATGTGAAATACAGCCACAGTGGCGCTGAGATATTCGCAAAACTTGGACCCTTGGCCAGAGTCGAATCCGCGATTTCCCTATCTGGGGGCTCGCGTGTTACACACGGCACCAATGATTCCTTTATTCTGCTTTTTTCGCGGCAAGTTTTCTACCATAACGGTACCGACAACGGGAATAATCTGGGAACCAAAAGTTGGCGTTGAACCCAGTTAAACTGAAGGTGTAGTCGAAATCTCAATGTTTAACTTTTTTATCTATTGCCTACTATTTCTTCACGTCATGGTATATGTGAAATACAACAACAGTGGTGCTGAGATGTTTAGAAAACTTGGACACCAGACCACATACCTGTGAATTCTTCACTTAAGTGAATGAGCGGAAATGCATTTCTCTCACGAAAGAATTTTTTCCAACAAACAGTGTAGCAGCTGTCCTGATGTGAGATCGAACATCGTCTATAAGATAGTTGTAGTCTTTTGGATCTTCTTCATGACTGCATCAGTTTGGATTGTCGTTTCAGAGCTCCAAGCTACGTTTAATGTGGTAACCGAATTTCACATGCTTTCGCAACCAAATGTGTGTGGATTAGGTGGTCCTCGTCATCAGACTTTGGTTGGTTTCTTGCTTATGTAGCGAAATTTGAAATGGATTATTTGATCGGCTTATTATGTTCAATCTTTTTGTCTGAGTTTCAGCTTCGAAATGTTATTGAGGAGATACGAGAGAATTGCGCTGAATCTCTGTATTCATTGTGCGAATGGGGATCTGAACACGCAAACGAATTTCTGGCGGACATATATCCAATCCTCAAGGTCTTTGTTTTGTTCTCATATTTTGGCTGGCGATCCTATTTGGGATTTTGCTTAAGCAAAAACCGTTCTTTTCTGCGCTGTAAGACCTGCAATTATTAGTCTCATATCCGCTGATCATATCATTCCTTCATTTTTTCAGAGCGTGCCGCTTGCGGAGAAATTTTCTGCGCATCATCTTTCCGCATGGATGTGTTTGATGAAACTCACATCCAGCAATGTGTTGTCGCAGAGTACGATTTAGTAACTTTCTATGCTTTTATTGTGTTAATATCTATTACCCTCCTAACGATTTGCCGCCTTATAGTGGATAGCAAGTGTTCCTGGGTGTCGGGCTGAGGTATAGAGTACGGGGTTCATCCGTCCAGCAGGACCTCCCAAGGTGAGAAGGAGTCCCGCGTTCCCATCAAGAGGCCTATCTAGGAGTAAACCAATACCAAGATCTAGTACTGTCTTGGTATCCATCTAGTCGCATGGTGGTAAATCTCCTGATCCACAGAGGCTGCGAGTGCATGTGGCGGTGACGATCTGGAGCAGATTTTGACCAGGTTGACCTCGAAACTCCAAGGAAACACAATGGCTAAACCAGCAAAGCTCCGAAAAATGTAGAATATGCTGGAGCACGCACAACCAGTGAAGACGGACCGTTCAAGTATCCAATTAATACCTATAAGAGGCGAATTTTGTGCACTCATGGAACAATAGCAACTCTGTCAAACTTTTAGTTGATTTGGCTAGCACCATATGTTTTTTTCAATGTGCGTCTTTTAATATCCCTAGTGGTGACAGTAAACTACCTTTTCCCTTTCAGTCCAGTATGAGCAAGAAGTATCGTAAACATTCTATTTGTTATTTAAGCGAACTCCGTGACAGTAGTACTTACAAATTTGGTGAAAGAAATTCGCAATGAGACACTATGGAGTGACCAATCTGTATGTGGAACTGTTCAGTTGCAATGCGCAGTATCTCTGCGAGCACTTGCTGTCAGTCCAGCAGATCATCTAAGTAAGTTGCACAGTCTGTTCTCTCCTAGACAGATATGTGCGTATATATGTATATATATATGCCTGCATGTGTATATACGTATATATGTATATATACGCGTGTAATTCAATACTCCGTTCTAATTTCTTGCACTAAAGCTCCTAATTTGCTTTCTTTCGCTGTGTTCTTGCCGCTGTTTATCCAGTAAATTTTATCGAGTTTCAACCTCACACTTTCGCTCTTTTCGAGGGTTTGCGAGTCTTTATCCTTACAAGTTGGTAAATTAGCGCACCGTTGCAGCTGATTACAACTAGGACAGAAACACTGGATAACATTACTACATTTGGCTAAGGATTAATTAATAAACCGATTATCCGCCGTTCTATAAACCAACTTTTTATGGCTATTAACTTCTCGAAAATATTCTACGAAAGACAAATTTGTTCTGTTAAAGATTAGAGAAGTCCAAGAAATCAGTTCCGGTAAGAGCGTAGTGATAGCTAGCACTCAATAAAAGCATGTTTTGAAATGAGACATAAAACGTCATGTTTTGTATCGAGTCTGTGGTGTTTTCTTGTTCCATTTTATTTCTTCTGCACTCATTTTCCTAATATGTTACAAGGGTTGGCGCGTCCGGCGCAGTGGTCGGAGGCGCCTCTCAATTCGCAGGAGATCAATTCCTGCGCCTCGGGCTCACCGAACCTTCTATTCCTCTGGAGTCGGCATATTGATAGCAGACTTGTTTGGGAGAATAGTAGCACCAGCTCGATACATCGGTAACCTACTGCTAGACATTGTAAGGGTCATATATGCATTCACTCACCTCCAACGATGCTTAATGAGGTCGAATGCATGGGACATTCCTCAGGAATTGATCAACGCCGAGAGTTTCATCCTTTTTAGTTTTATTACAAGGATTTCGCAATGCTGATATTCATTATGTATTTGTATCTTAGGTATCACGGATGTGGAAGTGGATGTAGACAAAGTAGTCGATCGTGCCATACGCAACATGGCGATGCTTTTCATCCGCCATGGAATAGTCGGGTCCGTTTTTGATGCTTTCACTGTCTTGTTGTACTTTTTTGTTATTTCCTTAATAATCAGAAAGCTGACTTTCTTTATGTTGTTACCGTGATTTCTTATCAGTTTTAGTTGGACTTACTAATTAGTTCTTATTTAGTTGTCACTTAAAATATTCATACACTGACTTAACCTCTATTCAAGGGCTGATTCCTTCAAGCTATGCGCTACCCATGTCCGTGTGGTTGATACGCTTTTGAAGCAACTAATCGCTTTGTTTCCTGCGAAGGTAGGCCGTAACGATAGTAGAGCCATCGAGAAGTGACGGCTTATTAATGAAACAAAGCACTGGCAAGACCTTTTTCTGTAATATATAGAGAGTTCGAAGTTGGAGCGTTGTTTTCAGCTGATGGAGATCGAGCGAAATTCGGAGGATGAGCTAACATGGGTAGATGAAATGTCTGAAAAAGGGCAACAGGTATTTGTTTCTGGTCTGATCTCCCATTTTTTCCCATATTTTCATATTCTGCCTGCCTTAAGTTTAAATATGTTAGACGCTTTAGGCTACACCTGCTCTGTATTACGAAAACTTTCTTCGATGCATTTCTGACCTCTATCGTGTGGTAGGCGATCCAGAAGCCAGTGCTGCTGTGAAAACATGCGTGATTGAGCTAAGCACATCGTATAGTAGCTCTGGATCTGTTGGTTTTACTCCACATCTTCATCGAGCGTTGGTGTTTCCAACCTTCGATTTCACTTCGTTCAGTTGGAGCTGTGTCGTTTCATGGAACGCGCTCGTCTTCCACACCATGTCGTTCACGCCGTTGCTTATCTGGATTTTCTGTGTTCAGTTTGTCTAACTCAGCAAGTCTCCTCATTCATTTTCGATATCTTCGCAAGAGTTTCCCCTAATGATGGTTAGTGAGACACAATTATAAATGGTTTTATCTAGTGGTTCCACAATAGAAGTCACTTCATAGTTCACAAAAAAATGTGGTGATTGCAGACGGATGTATTGGTTGGGACCATGTAATGTCGGCATTGCGCTCATACGAAAGATTGTTCCGCGAGAGATCCAGTGCAGTGTCTATGTTTGGGTGGGGTATTTCCGATTAACTGAGGTTTCATGTTTAGAACCAAGAGCCTTCTTAGCTCTCTCAAACTGTGGCCATTTGCATTTAAGTCGTTAAGTCACTAAGTCATTTTATTATGTTATAGGAACTATACAGCTCTCTACTCTTTTCAGAATCTGTTGGAATTTGCGAATCTCTATTACTAACTTTTTTGCTGAAGTTTCTTCTATCCCTTAGATTTCTACTTCACTGCCAAAGTGTTTGTTCGTTTAACTAAAGCGCTTAGACTTGCTTCAGCTCATAATTAGCTTGGAATCTTAACGAGATTAATCATATCCTATAAAAAATAAAATGTTTAGGCATTCACTACCAGCCCAGCAACAGTCAAAGGCAGATATTCCCCCGCGCGAGTTAATTGGATTGATAACATGGGTCAATCTGGCGAGGACTGTAATAGATTTGGTACTGCTCAGTTTTTTAGTGAACTTTTTTTCCTGATTTTAAGATAATTTTACTCTGACTTGTTACAGGATGATGAAGCCGCCGAGATATTCCTGGAGGAGCGGCAATGGGCAGTTCTTGACGCAGCACTAGGAGTGGTATCAGCTCCAGTTCCTTTACCTCTGAAGGGGGCTCTTCTACGACTTGTAGCAGCGCTAGCAAAGAAAGAGTCGTCTGCATTAAGGTAGATTCATTCAATTATGTTGGAATACTTCTTTGCATTGTGAATGTAGTTTTAGGATTTGGAACGCTCTCAATGCTCACCGTTTATGTACATTTGCCGAGAATGGGACACTGCTTGGATTGCAGGTGCTTATAATGGTTCTAAAGTTTCACGTAGGAACGAAGTAATGTCTAACTCTAGTTACTCTAACTAACTGTTGTGACAGTTGTTTTTTTAATATTTTCTTTTTATTACCAAAGGCTCTGTAGGATGTAACGTCGTTGAACTATTTTTAGAAAGAGCTTGACGAACGCGAATGCGTTGAAGAGATGTTCGATACATCACTCGGATTCGTCAGCATTTTGAGATCGCTGTTCTCACATCCATACATGTAAGCAGTTTTTCTTTTCAAGCATACATTACTAGTTCGTCTTTGAAATTCAGTGCAGTACCTGATTTCGCTGCCCCCTATCTGCAGTACCTAACAAAATCCATTGTATCACAGATGGCCTCGCGATCGTATAAGGATATTGAGCAATTCGTAAGTTATTCTTTTCATAATCAAAATCTACCCCATTGTTCCCTCTAATGTTATCCTTTCCTTAATTCCCTTTCATGGAGCATTTGGATATTGGTTTTCCTTTATACAGAAGGCCACAATTCCGTTAGTGTGCCTTATGATAAGAAGTCGAATGCGTTGGTCAGGACAGTGTTTTTATTTTCTTACATTGCCTGTTAAAAGTTTAAGAAGGGCATCCTTACCATCCTTACATCCTTACCCAGGCATCCTTCGAACTTTATATAAAACGCATTTTAGTTTACCTAGTAACAACTGCTCAATTAGAATTTTGTGAATGAATGTAAATAGCAAACATTTTTGATAGGTCTACAAAGGTTATAATGTTAATCGAGCAATGTACGCACAGAAATCACAGTGGATGTGTACGTTCACCTTAGTCGAAGAAGGTCGTTCAGCTTACAGATTGTACCATTTGTAATCCAAGCACTGATATACCAGTTTATAGCGCTCTCACTAAGTATGGGATGGTAATTTTTCTTTTCCTTAAGTCGTGGAAACAAAAACAGAAGAGGATCTGAGAAAAACATTTCCTTGGAATACTTAATGAGACTTATCACTGTATTTTTGGGACTACGGCACTGTTTAAATTTCTTGACGAGAATTTTCAACTATTTATTTGAATACGTGAGTACAAATTTTCACACATTAGTTTCTGTCTACAAAGTAAACATCGAGGAGCACTGAACAACTGGGAATGGGGAGGAGGAGCCAAAAAAAATCGAAAAATTCTAAATTAAAACGGAGGTGAGGCGGTCGGCGGGGGTGGAACGGGGTCTCAAAGGCCGTCTACACTAGTATTCTCAACGGTGTTCTCAGTGGGGAATTTGGCACAGTGTTGTCCCTGGGTGGTCTAAGGGGTCTACAGTATTTTCACGGGTGGTTTGAAGGCCAGAAGACCCTCGAAAACGTCTTAGAGTAAGCAAAGAAGGAGAACAGAGAAACAGCATGAATCATGAGTCTCTACAGATTTTGTTTTCAAATATATACTGAGGGTAAACCATTTGAAAGATCGTTGAACCGAAAATGAAATGATAACCCATAGTGACGTGGTCGTAAGTCTATTACTGTTTTTATGCTCTAGTAATCACAAAACCTAATTTTCTTTGTATTTACCAGCTTATTGCCTAACAGAGCATCAAGCATCGAAATGGCACGAATTATTATGTGGGATGAACAGCCGCTGGATATCAATCGGGTTTTCAAAAGTTCTGCTAAACAGGCTGACACCACATTGTCTCGACGAAACATCATCCATTGAGGTGAACAGGGGAGAAAACAACGTAGAGCCAATAGTTCCACTAAGCGTTTGTAATACAAAACGACCTTTATCATCGACGTTTTTTACTTCACCAATAAGTGGCTTAATTACCATGAAGGCTTCTTGAAGAGAAGAAGCATAAAGAGGTGCTAATTTGAACAGGTGTTTTTCGGAATGTAAAGTTGGGGAAACGGCTGCACAGGCAACGATCTCCTTGTCGCTGTTGAATAACACGGTGCCAAATGTGAACGGTAGATCGTGAAAGCGACGCAGAAACTCACTGCGATCACGCTTCACTATGGACAGGTCGAATTGTTCCATTTGATGGTACTCTTCTTTTGTCAATTCGTTGACCATTTTGACGGCAAAATTCTGAAACAAACTTTAAATAACTGTATATGAGCTAGTATCTAGAGAAGAGAAGGAAGTACAGGCTGAACCTGAACATATGATACCAATTCTTAGCACATTTGTTACAGGACTTACTTGATATTTGATACTTGAATGATCCGTCCTCACTGGTTGTGCGGGCCTCAGCATAATCTCCATTCTCGGAGTTTTGGTGGTTAAGCCATTGTGGTTCCCTGGAATCCTGAGGTCATCCTGGCCAAACTCTGCCCCAGGTCTTCACCACCACAGGCAGCACCGTTTAGGCAAAAATTTTTCTGAAAGGGAAGCATGGTCCTGAGTGGTGCATAGGGTAACGTGTGAGCCGATCGTCAACGGTTCGAATCTGGCCTAGTGTGGACGTTTTGCAAATATCACAACATCATTGTGGTTGTGTCTCACACAATACTCCGGCGTAAAAAAATAGTAGGCAGTAAATACAAGGTTAAACATATATATACATATATATAAATCTATGTCCATGTATACAATGTATATGTAGAGATATGTATATGTGTATTATATATATACTTAATTTCCATATTAACGTACTGTGGTTGTATACATATCTGCGATCCTTAGAAGTGTTTGTCCATCCATTTCGTAAGCATGCAGACATGGACCTTCAAAAGGCGTGTCCCTTGATTTATAGCGAGAAATCATGTAGGGAACTAAATGTAATAGTTGTCTTATGTTTACATATTCATTTTTTTTAAATCTGTCGCATTCTACCTGCTCTCAATACAATGGTGTAATTTTTCGGCATCCTTTCCAATGCTCGTTTCCAAATAATTGAACCAACGCCTTTTCCACGGTATTCAGGATGCATTAAGTAAAATCCGATATATGCGATATTGTCGTACTCATTCCAGACAACGGAACCAATGAAACTGCCATCTTAATAAGGTAGTTAGTAATTGTGTAGCAAAATGATGAAATTGTTGGCGACCCATTTTTTTATTCGTTGGCTTAAAATCACTTGGAGATTAGGATTTTACCAGTTTTCCTTCGGGCAAGTACTATTCGTGTCGTTGGTTGCTTTGGAGTAAGCGTTAAGACGCTAAGATCATCAGATGTCCACCCTTCACGCTCCACTAAGTTTTTCCATTCCAACCACGTACGGTCATTAGGAGGCACCGAATCCACTATTTCGTAATTGGTACCTTCCATACTCTCAAAAAGCACAAACGTTAGGTACGGTGGAATACAAACCCTGATAGAATATTAAAATACTTTAATGCAACGTCATTTGCTACGAGAGTTAATAGTCAAAAAGGCTAGTTCTTTCTTTTTCAAGCCATTATTGCACGATATAATTGTTTAGTAGAACTATCATGGTTATAAATTTTTCTACTTGTCAATTCCTATGAGTATCTATTCCTGAAAATGAGTGGATTGGAAACAGGACAAGGTAAATGAGGAAGGAACGATAAGAATTTCGTGTTGTAGTTCAACGAAGTATTGATTCGTGAACGGGCAGTGTAATGTAAACACACTCACAACAGGTCTTTTTTCTTTATCATATTTCATAAAGAGGATGGATATGATAGTACAAAGATTTGTCTCGAAAATGAGTACTTAGAAACTCTTGCAGAACAGACGAAAATTTGCCGATATGGGAAGAATTCTTGCGCTTATCAGTGATAATCGGCTCTGTAAAATGAAAACGAATGCTTGCAGTTTTGCATAGAGCAGTTTTTCTGGGAAGCGGCCGACTGAGCGGAAATTTCTAAGAAAGTTATTCAAATAAAGCTTCATACCATCTTAGACCACCGAAAGTTAAGTAAAATCAAAAGCATGAACCCTCGTAATGAGATCATTTATTCAAACTTCAGATGACCATTGCTCTATACATCGCTAAGATTTTGAATATATATGAAGCGATAAAAACTCACGGCATTGATGTATCTCTGAACAATGCGCTATATGCATTCGACTTCATTAAGCATCGTTAAAGGTGATTGAATGTTTAACTGGTCCTTGCAACGACTCCCGATAGCCTATCGATGTATCGAGCCAGTACCTATCCTCCCAGACAAGTCTGTTGACAATCAGCCGACTCCGGAGGGTTGGAGGGCTTGTTAGGTCTGGGGTTCGGGGATCGATCCCATGTGTATTGCAGGCTGTCTCCGACCACTGTCCTACTCGCGTCTCTCTCTCTCTATATATATATATATATATATATATATATATATATATATATACATATATATATGAATGTATATACAATCTGTTTATTTACTCATAAGCAACTTTATACATAAGATTGATCTATTGCCACCAAACGTGATGTAGGGCAATTCTAACTCTCATACAATCTTGTTCACACCAATGCAGTATAAACATAAATTTGGCATCTCTTCTATCAGGAAACAAAAATTTAGCAGTAAATGGATGTGATGTCGATCCGACGCCTACAAGAGGCTACATCTGACAAGTTTCTATGACTAGTCATTTACCACAAAGCATTCTAAGCTTTGTTTCTATTGTTGTGTAAGCCGTAAATACCAGTACCTGTGCAGAACTTCTAGATGACTTCGTTAGGTCCTTCTTTTCTTAGTGTAGAACTAATAATTGAAACTTTTGTTATATATTAGAAATAATGAGAAGGTCAACGTAGAGAACTAATTTCAGTATGAACTCGAGGAAATATCTCTATCTGCATTGCTCTTCTTGTTAAAACAGTCATATGTGAACAGCCGTGCCATCTTATGCAAGGAACCACATGTAGCCATGTTAGCTCAGATCCTCAACGACACTCCGGTGTACAGAGCGGTGAGCTCACTCCGACGATTAAATAAAATCGCACGTGTTTATTCATTTTTGAAATGAATGACTTTTCAGATTTGCTCCGTCCTTATAGAGGATGTGAGTATTCAAGACCAAACAGCACGCTCGTACAGGCGAACATCTGCTCCAGCATTGCCTGCAATTCATTTGCTTTCAGGTCTGTTTGAAATTAAGTTAACAAGTATCGTTAACTAGCGTCTGTTAAAGGAAACAGTGTTGTGTTTTGTTTTTTAGAACAAATATATGTGATGCTGTAATTTATACGGGACGAGTTCGTGGTTTACTAGTTAGTTGATGAGGATTGATCTATTTCAGTTGCGGTCTCACGCTATGCAATGCTGCGGGCTTCAATTCGAGCCGGTGACTCCAATATGATGTTAGCCCCTCTTCATGCACTTCTACTGTCACCGCTGCAGCCGTCCGGTCTTAACATTTTAGATATTGTGCTCCTGTACATCGAGGAGGTTAGCTGTAAATAAAAAAGGCAGAAACTAGGGCAAATTGAAGTATTCAAAAACATTGTGACAGTTTGTTGGTGTTAGCGGTGCTATTTGAGGATTACTGCAGAGGTCGTAGTTGATTTCATAGCTCGTATTTTTACAAAGATATGTTTAGGCAGATGATCTTCCATGTCATGCACTCTATGCTGCTCGTATTTTGCGAGAACTGTGTGCCATACGCCCGTCACTTCAGTCTCACATGGTGGAGTTACTGAGAGCGCATAAAATGGTGGCGCGTAATGCGCGAGCCATACGTAGTGTTCTCAATCCAAGCACTATACGATATACGGTGTCGGATATGGTAGCCCTAGGTAGGTGGAAGATGGGTGTTTATTGTTCATCGTTGCGAAATAGGTCGAGTCTCGGTGAATTAGAGGTTTTCTTCGAAATATTGGGGTTTTTATGCTATGTTATGTCCCGCGAAATCATTTGGTTAAGTGGCTTTTCGTATATTTCATTATTCCTATGAGTTTTGGCCCAGATGCTGTCTATCATTTTTTGGCCTATTCACGACTATGTTGCTGCCGATAAGTTCTCGATAACTAAAGTGCTCGAGGATTTTGCGCTTGATAAACTTATAGGAAAAATTCGCATTATTGCTTTATGGGGACACGTCGTTTCTTTCTGAATTGACAATCGTACAGTGCGAAGTGATTTTATATGGTGTCGTTGTAATACCGAGATGAGAAGAAGAAATAGTGTAAATGAGAAATGTAGTCTCAAAGGCGAGCATAGCAAAGGAACCGATTGAAAACCGCCTAGGTAGTACCGTAGTGTAAGCATAAATGAAGTCATGCTCTTTCAGTCATCTTGCTGCGTTAAACAGGTGCCTTGGCGAAAAAAAAAGCGAAGAAAAAAACATTTTAGGTCAGAAAATCAGTTCCATCAGAGAATTTTGGTCTAAGACATTTCATTGATAGCGCTTTTGTCTTCTTAGCAAAGGTGTACGTATTTCATTGCGTCTAACTACCTCACTTGGGATACCTTTGTTAAACGTCGAATAATTAAGTTCTTTTCGCTCTCGGACGATTTGAAATAAGTTCGTTTCGTCCAAAAAATATAAAAATTTGTTGGGTTTTTCCAGTCTGAAATTTCTCAGGCTATTTCTGTGTTTCTCAGAAATTTTTTGGAATGTTCTCTCAAGCGATGTTACATTGCCTTTAAACTTACAGCCTTATTAGAATTACTAATTTACATCAGGTATTGCTCGTCAAACCTCCCAATGATTTACCGCCTCATTGTGGCTGAAAGGTATTCCTAGGTATCGGGTTGCGAGGTACAGTGGTGGAATTCATCCTCCCAGCAGGGTCTCCCAAGCTGAGGAGTCCGGGGGTTTCTTTCAGGAAACCCAGCTAAGAATAGACCATTGCCAGGATCCACCACCGTACTGGAAGGAAACTAGTCGCTTGGTGGCTGATCTTCCTGTGATCCACGAAGGCGTCTACTATGTGGAGTGGTGACGAGCTGGAGCAGACTTTGGCCAGGTTGATCTCCAAAGAACCATAATGACTAAAGCAGCAAGACTCTGAGAAAATGGGGATTATGCTGAGGCCTGCACAACCAGTCGAGACGGGCTACCCACGTATCCTACTAAGTATTGCTCGTCAAAAGTACTACCGTTTCAGAGTTCGATGAGAGTGATCCGGTACGTATGCGAGGTGAGGCTGCACTTGTTGTTCTGGAGACATTATCTGGTGAGTTTTTTCCTTGAACTACATCTTCCAAGGAATTTTAATGCGGAAAATAAGATGCCTTATATCTGCATCTAAGTTAGACCGTATTTTCATATCTTTTTTAGATTCGGTGGAAAGTGATCCTGCTAGAAATAACTTATGCTTCCTGTTGTTTGGTTTTAAAACAACCGCTGACGGAAGTGGACAACTGTACGATGTCGGTGAGAACATCAGGCCTTGATGTTTCGTACTTTTTCTTCTAATCAGTATCTTAGCTTTTCTTCTGCAGCAAGTTTATTACTATTACTATTTTTCACTGATTCTAGAGTCACAACCGACAGGGTTCCATCAAGTGTTATCAATCCTGGAACAGTTTGTTGCGGCTCAGAATCCATTACAGCTGCCGTTCTCAGCGCTTATTGAGCCCTCATTTCGATTATTGGTTAGTGGATCTATTCCCACAATTTTTTTCTCTATGGTGGAGTCGAGGGTGATAAATCGCAGTGGATCGCAGAGGGAATTGTTTTTATTCTTTTCTATTTCTAAATTTAAGTTTTTCTCTTGTTTTTCTCAGAGCGATGACATTTGGTTTTCTTCGCGAAAAATCCGCTAGTAATTTTCTAATTGGTTCTAGATTACTAAATTACTCGAATATGAAGTCTGTTTGCTATTGCTTACTACTATTTGATATCTTGGACTATTTCAGCAACGCCTTGTATCGATAGATAGCATCCATTCACAAGCTGTACTTCGCTTTATCCGTTCAATAGATCTCATATATCAATTGGTAACGTCACCATTCCTTTCAACTGCAATTTCCAAGGTATTCGTATTCAATACACAGTTTTTGTATGCTTTTCATTGACGTACGACTAATTGGTTTTCTCTACCAGCTAAATTCATTACAGTGTTCCTTAATCCAAAGCTTTTTTTATTACTGACTCGACGTTTTATGAAACTAATTCTATTTTGCGCTTCTTACGTACGAATTTTCGCCACTTTCATGAACACACCTACTTTTTCTCGCCTTTGACGTGCAATGAAATGAACGCTTGCAGTCCGCTTGGCCTCTCACAAATGTTCGCGCCATTTCTTGTTTTTGCACTAAAACTTTGTTCGTCTAGTTATACTTTTACTCATTTCTGTGACTTTTCTCTTACATGTTTTTTGCGCTCTTCTGGGTACTTTCACGTCTATTTAGGATGTTTCTCTTATGTGTAATGACAAGAATTCCATTATCAGTGAAATCAAGGAAATATCCTCTGGTGGTTGCTTTCACGAACATGTTATTTAGACCTGAGGGCTTTTATGTATCCTTCATTTACTCCGATAATTGTGCGAAACAAGTCGAGAACATTTAATTTTCGTAAAATTTCACGTTATGGAAGCGCACCGTGTGCTGGGGTTTAAACATATTGGTACCATCCCCACTAGAAACATTCATTGTGGGTGGAGGTATTATATTACGCTGTTCATTGAGCACAAGCCCAACACGTCGATAAAAGTTCCACGGAAAAATTTTCTTTTTGTAAATTGTTGTGAGTCAAAAATAGTTTTCATTGGCTATGTCTAGCTATGTTTTCGATTGAAGCGAGAAAATAGACCATAAATTATTGTGTGCAGGAAAAGAAACGAGAGAAATTAATATGAACTAAGGTTAACATATTGACAAAGAAATTTATTTCGGCTACAGTTTCGACGCCTTCATTTTCATCAGAGCCAATGATCGGAGTCGATGGTACACTGTTGTTCATTTTCCCCATCAACTCGGTTTGTCTGATGAAGGCGAAGACGTCGAAACACTATCCAAAATAAATCTCTTTATCAACCTTTTGTAAGCTCAACAGTTTAAGTACATGTCGACTACGTTACTGTCGCGGTTAAATGACGGTCGCTTTGAAAATTGTTCAACACATTATAATACATTCTGTTTGTACATGTGCCTTAATGTCAATGAATACTATTGTAAATGAGTTAAACCTATTTCTTTGTGAACCTTGTTTTTTTCATCCCTAGGATGATTCCGAGGGACCTGCTCGACTGTCAGTAACACGCATGATCTCTGGATCAATCCTTCACTTAACAGCGCTCGAAATATCTTCGTTGTTAAAGACAGGTGATTATTTACGAGGTTCGCCTCAAATTAGAAGACAAACTAGCGCCAAAATCGATACATCAAAAGTTTTCGCTTTAGGCTTGAGCACAATCGTATATGTTCAAAAGCTTTCCTAATTGGTTATTTGTAGGACACTTCAACAAACCGCAAAAGATGTACAGCGCATTACTGGAAGCATCGGAGGCAGTGACCTGTCATCAAGGAGAGGTAGAAGCAGGTGTGGACAACCTGTTGTTTAGGTAGGTTACTTGACAACTAGCATTTTCTGCTGCAAGGTTTTCTTTTATTTTGTTCTTGAACCAATTTCCACTTCTTTATTATGTCTACTAAACTTCCGGAATTATTTGTTACTGTGAAGGTTTCCATTTAAAAATGGCTTCGGTTATTCGTATTTGTTCATGTTTGGTACAGAAGTATCCCTTTGTGAAAAAGTATCGCAAGTGTTGGCAACTTTTAGCTTGCTTCGTCATGGTCGTATCGAACTATCTGAAGAAATTGCATATCCTCGACTGGTTCACTTCAATGCTCATAGATTACATATGGTTAGTGGTTTTGTTCGTTGAATGTCTGGAACCTTATCATGTTCGATTCGTGTTAGATAACCTTGTACAATTCTTACATCTTTTGTAATATTAGTGCCTTTTTTAGCTATTATTTTCAAAGTGAATTGTGATCGTCAGGTTTACTTTTAGTTGTTTGACACATGCAAAACCACAACCGTGTTTAATGTTGCACAGTATGACATAGAATACCTTCATGTTCTCTTGGTTCGGGAGATTGTCAGTACTCAAGCCGAGGACACAACGACTGCAACGAGGGTGAGTATTCAGAATAGTGCAGCGCTGCTCAAACTTCCTAAAGTGCTATTCAGTGGTGCTATGATAGGCCTGGTTTGTGTGTGTGGAAATGTTAAAATGACGAACGCTATCGTATTGAGTAGCTCTACACGAATGAACATTCGACTAGACATCCGATAGAATCGAACTTTCCAAAATACAGACGAGAAATCTATTCACGTTGAGGAAATGGAAGCCGTATTAACATATGGAACTGATGTTAATTCACAACTTCTTCAACGTGGCGCCAGCGAACAATTGGTGTCGGGTTGTACAGCTTTACTGAACGTTATGGCATTGTTCGCACCTGTCCCGTTCTTTTCAGTCAGTGAGTTTTTTTCTTAATTTCGACCAAAAAATGAAAAAGTTGAAGATTTTCGTGGATCGATTTTCCTCATATGTATTAGGTCGTTTGGAAAGTAATACACTGTTTTCAACTCTATGTCTCTGAAATGGCATATTTCAACCCAGAATAGATTTAAGTAATGGAAATAATAAATATTAGAGCTCGCACATTTTTCCTAACAACGAACAAGCTTGCGTACTCCAGCTGCATAAAACTGTGGGCTCTTGGAAACGGTGAAGCCGATGAATGTGGTTTCGGCCTCTTCTTGATTTCTGAAGCGTTTCTTGCACAGGAATTTATCAATAAGTTTTAAGAAGTATTTGATATTCGAGAGATCTGGCGAGTATGGTTGATGAGGCACAGTTTTGTAGCCCAGATCCTTATACCTTTCACCATCAGATGCGTGACATGTGACCACGGTTTGGCAGTGCCACGTATCGCTAATTAGTACATCATCCATTTTTCGAGCTTTTTTGACCTTTCATTCTTCTTTGGGTGCTCCAAACATTTGAGATGCTAAGCTGCTTAAGCAGAGTTATTCTGCAAATCCGCTAACAGAGTTGTTCATCTGTTTGTATTACCAACAAAGCCTTCGATTCATAATTGTCAATAGTAGGGACGCGTCCGTGACTTTACTGAACTTGACTCGCCGCGACGAAATTTTTCATGTCAGTGTCGCACTGCGCATTCGTCAACACTTCCTTGGCTCTATGTCTCATTAATGTTTTGAGTCATTTACATTGCATACGTCTGAGTTTGAACTAATGGAAGTGAATTTGTCAAAATTATCATTTTGTCTCATTTTCTACTATCTAAAAGCTCTGTAAAATCTATCAAAAATGATTTTTATATTGCAAATGAATTATTCGGAGCGAAAGTGCGTAAAATAACCTTTACATTGGTATGTAATGGTACAGCACTCCAAAGAGAAACTGTTGCTAAAACGTATAGAAAGGGAGAAATTACGAATCGTGTATTAATTTCCGAACAACCTGATATTAAATATCGGGAGTACTCAGAGAATATTGGGAAGCTATCTTTGTTGTATGGGTGAAATGATGCCCGGCTACGAAGAGATTCGAAGCTCAATGTATGAGTCAATGTTAAAATATTCATACTGTTTCTGTCTTTAACTGACCTTGACATGAAGTCAAATTCGACAGTTAGTGAGTTTGTTGTGACACAAACAGGTATTCTGCACAGCCACGTGATCTGCAGTATACTTAAAATTTTGATTTCGAACGAATTATTGTTTCTCACTTTTTGTATGGAGTGAAATTTCAAGCATCTCAACTGGACATGCTGACGGATGCTGCATTTTTACTGGTAGAATACGTTAGCGGATGTGGTGCTGACGAACAAGTAGCAGTGTGTACAACTCTAATGCGATTGTGCAAAGCGATATGTCGATTGGCCTCACAGCATTATTCTTCTGAGGTACGGCTTTTGAGGCAGTCTCGTGTGTGTTTTGCATGAGTACTTGGGTACCGTCTTTTCTCTTAAACACTGCCGAGAAAAACTTTTATTTTCCCCATAAAGTTTTAATCACTGAATATTGACTGGTTCGCTCGCATTCAAATCTTGCCGTGACCACCGCGGAAGCCTCTGGCTGGACACGGACAATATTCGGCATCCCTACCAGGTCTACCAAAGTCTCCGTCGCCTCCTGAAGGGCCATCCAGACCCTGTGGTCCAGCAGCTCCGGGTCCACCAGGGGGACCAGTAGGTCCTGGTTCTCCTTCACGCCCGTTCAGCCCAGGTTCACCTTGTGGTCCAACATCTCCTGGTGGACCGCGCTGACCCTTAGGACCAGGGCGACCTATTGGGTGCCGTCCATCAGCTCCCTTTTCTCCAACACGTCCATCGGGACCGGGACGTCCTTGCGGTCCTGGTATACCCATTTCTCCCGGATGACCAGGATTGCCGTCGTGTCCAGGTCGCCCTTGGGCGCCGTCTGCGCCTTGCATTCCACGTATGCCAGGACGACCAATTGGGCCTGGAGCGCCGATCGCTCCAGGTGGGCAGTGGAAGCACCTTCCAGTGTCTTGTAGTTCAGGGCTGACGTCCATAGCATCTGCTCCAGGCTTGCCATCCATACCGGGAATACCATTAGGTCCAGGAACTCCAGGAAGACCTGAAGTTTAAGCATAAAACCCATACGTTTTTCATACTATTTCCGTGGTTATTACCTTTTGGTCCTACTGGTCCATGACGACATTTGTTCTCACTCTGGCAGTGGCAGCCGGGTGACATAGGTCCAGAACCGGATGGGGGCAGAGCAACTGTGTGAGCAGGAGCGCTGGGATTCATAACGCTACCATATCTCTCTGATGAGCTAGCTTTTCTGGCGGACTCACTGTATGCATAACTTTCGCGACGTTGCCGAGTGCTGCCAATGTGAACTAGGTTACGCCACATTTCATCTGTTTGTGTCTGCAATTTAAAATTTAAGAAAGAAAACATCGAAAGAATTGTGAGCTCACTCGAATAGTACTCATTTCCATGTCTAGTTCCCGCCAAAAGTTTTGAACGTTGTTGTAAATTTGTCCGATGGCAGACAAGCAGCATAGGAGCACAATGCCGCTAAACGAACTTGCCATGAAAGTGACTGTGTGGACTTTCATGTCTAAGAGAAGCTGAAAAATCCAAATATCTTTGTGAGTTTGGTGGACAACGAAAAATGGTATTAAAAACAGATAATATTAGTGAATTGGATCTCAAATAAGTCTTGAGGAGTTTCTCTGACCAGTTACAACGATAGGATATGATGCAGTTGGTATTGTGACCGCAGGGTTCTCGTTAAATACGGCCACATCCCGGATTCGCTACAGATGAACTCGTTTTCGCTCGATCGCGAATAACTAGTAATTAATCAGTGGTGCGCCGTCTTTTCACTTTCTCGCTCAGTCGCTAGTGTTTTACCGCAAGGCAGAAACATTGATTCGTAGTTGTGAATCTATCCAAGCTCAACTGTTTATGCAGACGTAAATTTTGATGATTTCAAACTACAATAGTTTTACAACGACAATGATCGACTTCTTCCGGTCATACAGTGACGTCACTGCTAGCAAATTTAACATGCTTTGTCATCACTGCTGACAGTGGAACCATAAAATTTACGGTTGTAATAACGTAGTATTAGGCATGTCTAAAGGACACTCCAGTAGAGGTCAAGATTGTGATGCTGCCAGCAGCGAAATGTGTATTGGTCCGGAAGCTATGTTAGGGTTTAAATAATGTAAATATATGTACTCCAGGTCACTCCAGATACAATCTGGACGTCAAAAAAAAATTTTGGTCGCTGTAGTGTTTCACAAGTTGCTTCGAGATCGGTAACTCGTAAAATGATCTATGTTTTAACAACACTAGTTTTAAATCGTAGCGATTATGTTAGAGGTGCAGCTAGCAGAGTGGTAGTGATGCCGTGTAATATATACTAGACTCTTTTCCGACCTCTCTCTAGGACAACCATGCCTCTCTCATCTCTTTGAGGTGGAGAATTTGTTAGCAACTTGTCTAGGAAGCTCCCTACGATCATCAAGACCTAGAAGTACCATGACACGACTATCGCAGAATTCTCCAGATAGAGTCGTGTCAACTAGAATTCAAGGACATATGAAAAAAACCTTAAATCCGGAAGTAAAAGATGAATCATCACTGAAATCCGAAAACCTTTATGGGTCGTGGATGCGAGGAAACGAATCGAATGATAGAAGTGGTACCCACACATTGAATGATGTTGAGTCATGTGAAGTAAATAGCGATGTGCTATGACCGTGTGCAGCATAGTAGCTAGAGTTACTCTGTAGCTAACACTTGGTTAATGGTTCGACTTCGCATTCTTCCATCCGTCTGGTATCGGCAAATAGGTGCAAGACATGTTTTGGAAAATGGTATTGATTTGATACATCGGTAGCCTCTTGAAAGTAGTTATATAGGCTAAATATGCACCCAGTCACTTCAGTGATGCTACAAATGGATTCAAATGGCTGTAGCATCTTTAGTGAATTGAGCGGCACCGAAAGCGTTGTCATTCTATTTCGTGTTTTCTTAATTTTTCCTACATAGTCCATCATCGAAAATTGTATGGATCCCATCACTTTTTTTTCGTTCAACTTGTCTCTTCATTTGCATCATATGCAGAGGTTACCCGATTTGCTTGTGATTTAAGCTGCTGTTTGGAGATTTTCGACCTACTTATGCTTTCCGTTTCCGTACTATTCGAGTATATTCTTCTTGAAATCATAAAGTAGTTTCACTAAGCGTTCCTAGATCTTCACCTCAAGGCTTTACCAGTCTTTATGAATTAAAAAATTTCCAAGCAAGACTGGTACCAGTTCTCCGCCCCACGAAAAATGTGGGCCTTGGGTGCCTCGAAGCGGAGTCCGACGACAACCTTACGTGTGTTAATGCTCGGTATATTTTATGAATTAGAACCGCAACAGAGCTCTTTTCCCAAGATTTTTTCTGAAATTTTCCTGTTTTCAAAAGCTTTCTTGACTGTGGTAGTCTGTAAGTACTCCGTTCATCAGAATACAGATGATCAGCGTTCCTGCAATTCAGAAGCCTAAATTGCGCAGTGCATTGGCGAATCTACTAAATTCGCTACTGGAGTTGCTAATTCAACCTGGAGAACGACCTCTACAAGCTAAGGTTAACGATTTTTCTGTGTATATTATACTGATTTCACTTTACTGTTTGTTTTAGTAGTAAACAATCTCTCGTTCCTTTTCCTTTCTTTTTGAGTTGGCCACTTACACCTTTTTCATCAGATTTCCATCTATGGAAGTGCTCGAATATGTATGAGAAATGCATACGTTGATACTGACGAGGTCAGTTGTATCTTTTTGGGGAAAATATTTTTCTTTTATTGATGGCAAAATCAGTATAGCTTATTGACTTTAAACGTTGTTTGCTTTTGGTGCTTAATAACTGTGCATTCTTAATAATATTGCTTTCTGTCAGTTGTAACAGCCGACAATTTTCCAAATGTGTTAAAGTGTCTTTCATTGTAGGACAAAAGCAGTTCTGACGATAATTGGCTGACCAATGGAATTGTAGTCTGCAGTAGTACGGGTCAGGATCCGATTGTTGAAGTAATCCATGCAAGAAGTTATGAATTGAGTCAATGCATCACGAGAGATATTGTTGATCTCCCTGACCAACATAAGGTACGTAAAAATATTAATAATATTAAACGAGTGAAGTGAAGGTTATTTGATATTTGCTGACGTGACGTATTCAGTTACATGACGCAAATTAGTGAAGGAGTACTGAGCATTCTTGTAATTCTGTTGAATATCGTAGCGTAACCACAGTAATTATTCAGCCACGGTAAACGAAAATATAGTAGATTTATTTCCATGAAGAGTTAATAGGCCTAGCCGCCTTTACACCATACGTTTCGATAATGAGCGAATTGACATCTTCATGTGAGGTGTGTGGAAATGGTAGCATGACGACAGATGAACTGGATGGTGCTGGCGTAACACGAAAACCATGTGGAATCTGTATGTTAAGTATTTCGCTGTTGTCTATCTGGATCTAAAATATCCCAGCTTACCGTCTTCTCAGTTTGTGTGTTTGCATTTAGATAACCGAATTCACGTCTACTGATGTCTAGTAAAGGGCATTTATCCTGAAATATTTGCAGGTTTAGGATTAGTTTACGGTTTTCATCCCTGTATCTTAGCTTTTTAAGGTAGCATTTCTTGACTTCTAGCCGTACACTATTTTACATTTACTACTTGGGTATCTGAAACCTCTGGCTATGGAAATTACTCACATCAGTTTGAAGTACACCAAGTGTTGTGAGGTGGTTCAGTGGACAATCGTAGTTGAGCCCTACCTCCTCATAACTGTCAAAACTGGCTATAGCAGAATGAATACCGGCTGGTTGATGTGACCTGTGATGTTTGAAAGTCTAGGAAGCTGAGGATCAGAATAGTAACTCAGTTTTTTTTCACTTCTCGGTTATTTTTGTCGTAATATGTCATTTGTAAGATATTCTTGATAGATATTTGCGAAAACTGATAAACTAACCTTAAGGGCATGTACATCCGACCAGGTAACCAATAAGCTCGACTGAATTTTGTGTGTAAAAGGTTCATGAATAGTGAGACAATAGATAGACCAATAAGCAAATAAATAAAAAGTAGAAAAATTACTAGTGAATGTCCTGAAAATGAGGATCCGAGCATTCTGACACCATGAAAAATCGGCAATGGAGACTATATAAAGTTTTGAATTGTAAGATGAAAAAGAATCACATGAGATTTCTTGACAACTTACGCCCTGGTTCTATGTCACCGACACCAATGGTGGCCAAAGAATTGAAAATGAAATAAAAAGTTGTTGATGTGTCATTGTTAGGCATAAAAAAGTGTACTATAAAACAACCGACACAGATCCAACCAATTAAGGCCATTATGGCGACAGTCACCTGTAATTGGAAATGACTGTTCACTGTGCTTCAAGGTTTTTGCAAGTATTTTTGTTTTATGTGAAGTACAAGCGATTTGTCGGATGTGTGGATGTAATGAGAAACTTTTTCCTCAACAGTAGTGTGATAAAAACAAATTTCAAGTTTGTCTGAAATCTCCAGAAGAGAGTATATTGTAAGGAAATAAGTTTTCTATGGTAGATTCAGGTGGCATTCAATAGGTGCGTGGTCGTTAGTTCAACCTCTCCTGGCCTGCATATTTTTGCCAGCCAGACTTGTCTGGGAGGATAAAAACACTGACTTGAAACATCGGTAGGCCCTAGCAAACTTGTTATGCAATCGAATTATTGAATTCAATCACCTCTACGACGCTCAAAGAGGTCGGATGGATGGCACACCCCTAAGGAATTAATCAGCGCCAAACGTTTCATCCACCATCCTTTATTGTAGAATCGCTTACCGGTATGGCTAGTAGACGCTCCATATTATGCAGCCGGTAATCCTTCCTTTCACCATGGTCACCATGAAGTTTTCTATTAAGTTCATCTTCGTTAACAGGTCGTAGTGTGCAGAATCGAAAAATGGTCCATAGCTTGGCTACAATTAGAGGCATTGGGTCAGCTACTAATCGACTCTGTTATCATAACCTTACCTAGAACTTCACATGGAAAATTCATGAGCTTTGCAATGATGTAGGATAAGTCTTTTATAATGACTATCGTAAACGGGATTCCAATGAAACTGATGAAAATTGAGAATATTCGTCCAGCTTTCGTTACCGGGTAGATGTATCCATAACCAATAGTTGTTATCGTTGAGAAAACCTTAAAGAATAACACTTTTTCATTGTTTGGATTAGGCGAACAACTTTTTAATGGCTAAAATATAAGCATTTTTTAATGGATAATTTACATTACTGTTTACTGTTTATTAGAAGTGTTATGCGAAATAGTCCCATTGGCTAGCAATGAGTGGCTCACTATGGAGCTTGTTTGCTCTCATTTTTCATCGTGAGAGATATTTGTTGGTGCTTTGATAGAACTTAACGTTTTCTAGCTGCTCGCGTTCAGAAGGGAAGTAACAGTGGTGATAAAAAGGTTATACAGAGCTTTTATGTCCGTCTTTTGACTTTATGCTGCTGTAGAATAGCTCAATTATGAATTTCAGCTACGACTACTCATTCACTGCGCTGTACTTGAAAAAACTTTACATTTATAGACGTATAACTGATATGTATGGGCTTGGTTGTGGAGAGAAAGAAGATAGAAACTACTCATAGTTACACGTGATCATCGAGTCCGAAGGATCCTAAACTGTTTTATCGGAAAATTTTAGCAGCATTGTAACAACTAAGCTTGAAATAGTTATCTGGGGAAGTAAAGAAGTACAAAATGATGGTTCACAAATAGATTCCGAGGTTAAGATATTTTGCTTTTATGAACTATTAATCTAAATGTGAACTTACGAAAAGCAATGAGTTTATAAAAGTGCACGGCAAAGTTGGCATTGGCGCACGTAGTTTCAGGTGGTTTTCGTAGAGCTCTAAGCGGTGATTTATTATGGAGGTGAGATACTGCGATTTTTGGACATGAATATACAGCAGTAACCTTGTGTTGTTGAAGATTTCTGGCAGTAAATCCTTGACAACAAATCTAAACTGCAGAAGGAGTTCTCACTTCAATCGTAGATCCATTAAAAAAATGATTTTTTTATGAAACCAAGAAACTTGAGCACATTGTTTGGGAGGTCGATCATAATACCTTTTCGTAACTCCTTGTAGGATAACAAACAAAGCGAAGTAAACGAACGACTTACGAGTTTCTCTCACTCGCAAGTTTCCTTTGCCATTGTCTTCGGAATTTTTCGGAATGAAATGATTCGAGAATAAAAAATACGCTAGCAGAAACCACAATAAATAACACGTACGACGAAAGAAGTAGTATATGACTGAGGCTGAAAGCCATTTAAAGATTCTTAAAATCAAGGAGAAGAATGTTGAAGTGAGATTGGTTTTTGATTTTCTGTGAGAATCCCGATTGATTTATTAGTAGCACGGTTAATCGTCGAGAGGCATGAGTAGACGCATTTTTTGTACGAAACAATTTATTTTTCCTGTACTTGTCCGAAGCAGAGTTAGCTTGCCTAGCTTTAGCGGAATAGGTAGACCACAGCAAGCGTTGTTTGTGGAAAGCCAGACCGCGTCCATGTATTCTTCCACGTCACTTGATTGTGAGCTATTGGTCGAATCGACGTGAAGCTTGCAATCCGCGCACACATGATCAATCGTATTAGTGTGTTAACGAGTATGCAATAGTTTTGAACCAATTTTACGCAAAAGAGATAAAGAAATCACTCTTTAGTCGTTGGAATACGTTTAAATTGATTTGGATCAATGTAAATCCAGAAGTGGGTGATTGATGTTTGATTCTATTGACTAGGAGAGGATGTAACGTACTTGTATTTATGGTAGATCCGTTTGACAAACAATATAAGTCGAAACGCTTGAGAATTCGTCAAACACATATTCTTGGCACTTATTGGGTTCCCTTATCTGCTAGAAGAATATTTAGATCAGTTCCAAGGCTAGGCATCGATCTGAAGCTTTTGTCCTGATTATTCACACTTTTTCGTTCCTCGACAAGTTGAGTTCACACAACGTTTGTTTTTATTTTGCAGTCATTATCTAATAAAATGAGACTTCTACCATGGCTAACTCTTTTAATGTCAATTAGATTCTCATTCTGGCTTTTATAACCAAGTTCTAAAGAGGTAGTTATGGTTGGCATTGTTGTGGTATGAAAGCGTTTATGAGGGTTACCTTGCTTGTAGGTAGGTACTTACCGAAAAAATTAGGATCATAGATTGATTCATCGAAAACCTAAAAAACAACCATTCATTGAGGATCAGAGAAGAAGGTTTTCACTTAATATATAGCTGAATGATTGAGAAATGTATATCGGGCGACGTAAAGAAAATGAAGATTTTTGATGACGAAATCAGATAGGCGGTTGTGGCCTATCCAGCAGCAATTCAAGAGAATGTCGCATCGACTACAAGTGGTGTATGTCAAAAGCTCAGTCGTGCTTGCTTTAGAGATACGTAGCGATGGTATCCCCCAGGGATAACAAAACGTCATGAGTCAAACTGCAGTATTCAGTTTGGTCTTTATGTATTCTTATTCGCTAGGAGACGTCTTTTAAGAACGCTGTAACACAGTCGTGGACACGTGCATTGGTTTCAATGCGTATGCATTTTTAATTAAATTAAATTAGACTTTTTTGCCACTTTTCTAATCTCACCAGATGTCGTGATTTTTTTAAACGTACAGGACCTTTTTTTCTGTTTTTGATGTCGAGGCCGGTATCTCGAGCAAGTTTGCAATTGTGCCAATGAGATTTCGACTAGCAGGATGCGTTGATATCTTATCTATCTATCAAACTTATTGATGTCTGGCGCTGCCGTTCTTGAATTGTGAACTTTAATTTATTGTATTTAATCATGAACCTAAAATGAGTTTTAAATTGAAATTGGACTCTGGATTTTAGTATTCATTGTAATTATTTATTAATTGTGTTGATTAAAGGGAACACAGCTTCCAGAAAGCCAACTTCAATATACACGCCCTCCTTCATGTGAAATAAAGAAGGATGAATATGTCGTCCCGCCGCTTCTCCCCTGCGAAATCCGCTATTCTGTTTCGTCAAGGAAGAATCGAAGAAAAATTTGGTCCGGACAGGATAAGATCTGAACACCTGAAGAACTTTTCGCCCATCCCCATCAACACATTGGCTCAGCTGACCACACCTGTTCGAATGTAAGGTTCCTATTCAATGGATGACGATCGAGGGCGTGCTATTGTTCAAGAAGAATGACCTTCATGATATTGCCAACTCTATCCCAATCTTCCAGCTTCCTGTTATATACAAAGTCACCACTTTAGTCATCCTAAACGGTATTTGGAGAACACTGGACGAAGGACAGCCATGTGAGCGTGCAGGGTTTCGAAAAGAATTCTGTATAATGGACCATATCAACACAGTAACAGCAATAACAAGACTCGTTGAAGGATCACGAGAGTACAAAAACCGCTCTGTCTCATTTTCATCGAAAAAAATTCTAGGAATGTGGGGGAGGAGGGGAGTCTAGCTAGGGAGGAAAGGAATGGCACGAAGAATTCGCTCAAAAATCTCGTTTAAGCCCAAGAAATTGAGAAAAAGGAAATCAAAGTGGGTGCGACAGTAGACGCGCCGCGGCCGAAAGGGTGTGACGGGGTCGTACAGAGGGGGGATTCACGGGTGGTCCACCATAGTTTTCTCAAGGGTGGTTTCCCTGGGAAAGTTGGTGGAAATGGCGGGATTATTCTCATGGGTGGTCAGAAGGCCGAAAAGCCGGATACCGTATCTCCGGTTACAGTAACGTGGGAAAGGTGCCGTTAGTGTAGAACGACTTTTGACTCAGTTGAGATATAGGCAGCAGCCATGGAAACTGAGCTCTCAGGCAGAGCCTGTTCAGTATATATTCTTCGTAAGCTGTATGAAGATTTCACAGCGGGAAATCACCATTTCATACTAGTAATTTTAGGTTTCGACGTAATAAGAGAGATTAGGCAAGGTGATATCAGCTAGCTGAAATAACTACTGCGACCCTCCATATTGTCACGCGATCATAGGAATGGAACAAGACGGGGTAGAACAAATGCTAGCCTACTTAATCTGATACAAGTAGGCCGTGTAATGCTGGTGAACGACATCAGTTGACAAGATCCGTTGGTAGTTGGGTTCCTCGGGATGTTAAACGCATAACAGGAAGATCAGCGATCTTATGGTCAGTGTTTCTCCTGAAAACTCTAGAAGGAAGATATTATATTCAACGAGTCCCTGGAGCGACTAGAATTCACTAAGCTACTATTGCACGCAACAGGAAGAAATGCGACATTTACTGGTACGCGCTAGAGTCACTCGACAATTATCCGAACGATCGATGACACAAGCGATGCTGTGTTAATAATTTTAGAGTTTTTATTTCCGTTTATTTGAAATTAAAATAGCATTTTAGAAAAGTTGCATAGATACTTAGAATAATAAGGGTAGTTGGTTCTATAAGCAGTGTTTGTAGAAGTATAAAGCTTCTTTGTGCGGTATTTTGGAGAACGTAGTTCGATCCTTTGATGTAGTCAATGAAACATGAATTAATCGTATTCTACCATTGCAAAGTTGTGGGATAGAATTGTCACGAAGGTCGGTGATGTTACATATTTATCAACATGGAGACATGGAGAGTCACTTTGCGCGACTACATTTTCGTTACTCTTTTCCGTCATAGTTTTTTTTTTTTATTTTCTTTTGTAATAGAGGCTGCAGATGGTCTAGAAATAGGGTCGGAAGAGCCAAGAGAGAATAAACAGAGAAGCGTAGTAAGGGTAACAGTTCACAAGTTCATTACAAACTACCGTCAAGATTTGTTTCTACGTCGTCATGACGGATTGACAATGCTAAGCTTTAGTAATTACTATTATAAATGGGATGCAGGCTTCGCCATTAAGTTTTTGTACGTATTTCCATTTTAGACAGGAAGTTGGTCTTATACATTTCCAGCGAGAAAAGATCATTTTTCATAGTTGAGATTGTAATCGAAGAAAAAAAACAGTACGACCCAAGTGGGATGTTTGGAGTTCAGATTAAGAAGAAAGCGGAGTCGAAGGACAATTCATCGTCTTACCACTACCCGGATTCGTATTTTACATGTTTGGACCAAGAATGATGCGCATCTACACTTAGTGAATTCTTTCGCGTCTGTTCATTCCTGTGTGTGTTCTTCCAAACTCTTTCCAAAGATAGGCTTGCCGTAATGAATTTAGGTATCTGCTTCTTCATAATACTTATCGTGGACTTTATAGAAACATGTAGAGTGCAGTGCTTGCTCCACCTTCTTAGCCTCTTTAGCCTTTTCTCTCCTATAGAACACATTAATCGCGTTGTTGCGTGGATCAGATTTATTACCAACCCAGTTATTTCTCACTGAAAGCTCTTTATTTTGTCTGTTTCCTCTTCATAAGTTCTTGTCTAAGACCTAGTTAGTGATACTGCGATACAGTATGTTTCATATACCAAAAAGTTCCGTTATTTTTTTTCATAAATGTAGCTAATATTGTTCCTTCTATTGCTCTCCTTCCTTCGAAAATTTGTTTAAAAAAGGACTCTGAAACAAGATTCTTTTGCAGCTCGGACGTACGTATTCTTCGTCCTCTTTCGATGCTTTACTTCTTCCATATGCTTCCGTCCACCACTTGAAAAGCAAAAAGAGGCGGTTTGTGTTGAACATTTTGGTTCCTTTGCACTGCTTTGCTGTGAGCAATCTTCGACCTACTTCTTCATGTCTGCTGTTATAGTCGTTGTTAAAGTTTCATAGTCAAAGTTGGAATATGAATATAAGGATGCTTGTGAATAGTGAATAACTTGCAAATTTCTACGAGTTGTTGAATATAGGTCGATTTACTAGTTGCTAGCACTAATGTTGCCGTACTCCCTGTTCGCACTCTCTGTTGACTAATTCTATGGTTGCTGTGACAAGACACGTATGACGAAAAAAGATTGCAGTTGTGTAGCACTCAGTCAGTACAACAATGGCTTTAGCCATACTGCCAACTTTGATAGAACAAAACTGAAAGTCGTCTGCGCATGCAATGCAGTGGTTAGAGTTGCTTTGCAATGCATGCTCAGTGGTTGGTTCTATTCCGAGTCCTTCTTGACTGACAAAACATCCGTTCAACCCCGTGTCCTTCACTGACTAAATATACACCCCTCCGAGATCGGCAAGTTGCTACCAGACTCGTCTGAGAGGATGAAAAACGGCGACGTGAAATATGGATAGGCTCTCACTAGGCATTCATGGATGGTATGGGCCAAGTGTACACTCACTCATCTCTGCGATGCTTAAGGGAGTTCAATGACCGGCATATCCATAACGGGTTAATCAATGCTGAACGCCTTGCCCTTTGTTCTTTATCCTGAACTAAATGGGTGGAGGCGTTGTGCTCCTCGTATACTCACAACTTTCGTAGCCGCACGGTTGTTGGAAGTACAGCGAAAAATCATGAGTAGAACCTTCACTCGGTTGTTTTTTATGGACTTATAAAAGACCATTATCATCCTAAAAATAAAAATAGGATGAAATTGAATCGAAAAAGCTGTTAGATTAACCGTTAAGGATTTGGAAACCGATTTCATTGCTCATACCTTTCAGTCTACTCCACTTCTGCTACTGAGTGACATGCTACATGAGGACCCAGGAACCGTGAGTTGACGATTTCTTTTAGTTTCTATGGGAGTGTTATTCACAGATCATCAAAAACATAATTGATTGATTTCTGTATTTGAAAAAAGTGACATCATTTTGAGGTCATGGAATTCTACACAACATGATTCTAACGTATTTTCCATTTATTTCAAACATTTCGTTTGTTTTCGATTGCTTATTAATTTCTTTGATATCTCGTAGATTCGTGTGGCGCTGTGGTCGGAGGCGCCGTGCAGTACACATGGGATCGATCTCTGTTCACCAGGCTCACCAAGCCTTTCATCCTTCCGAGGTCGACAAATTGGTACCAGACTTGTGTGGGAGGATAGTCGCAATGGCTCGATACATCGATAGGCCACTGCGAGTCATTGTAAAGGCCAGATTTACATTCAGCCACCTCCAACAATGCTGAATGAGGTCGAATGCATGGCGCATCCCTCAGCGATAGATCAAGGACAAGAACTTTATCCTGTATCCTTTAACATCTCAAAAAGCTGGAGCTGGGAGTTTTTGGTGTTTTCCAAGCCTTCCCACACATTTTCCGTGTGAATTTAACAATATTCCAATTTCTGAATTAGAGAAGGTTGTGACTTTAAAGGCATACTGTCATCAGTACTATTTTAAAAAAATTTGTTTCGTATAATATAATTTTCATTCTCGCTGTACTATATTGAAACTTTATAGGACTGCAATTCAATTTTTTTATCTTAATTCAGTGAAACGTTTACACTAATACTATGTTTCCTCTCGGTTGCACTCATTTTGAAAAGGAACAGTTTCAGTTTGCTAGTCTGATATCAAAAACCGGTGTGGCACGGTATATGACCGATTTTTTGGCTTCAATCGCGATCGACTGGACAGCACTTTCGCGACATGAGCCCGATGCCGTACAGAATCATATACAATACAAAAGTCTTATGGTTGGTGTTCATTGAGTCTTTATCTGTTGTCGCTTTGTTTTTGAAATTTTGAAAACCTCTTTGTTCGGAAGCCGATGGTTAAAAACTGGGCGCTAGACAATGCTGGAGAACAACGGTGTTAGGAACTTCCTCATGCCATATCGAACTTTCCTTTCATTTTAGAAATGTGCCAAAGTATGTACAGGGGCATCTCCTTGAGGAGGAAATAATCGACAGAATTGTTTCTTTGAAAAGAAACATATTAGGAACTAAGCTGTACTGTAGTGTGAAGTAGTGACATGTGTATCAATCAATTTGTTGATCACATTGGAAATTCTCATTCTGTTATTGGAAATTACAAACAAACATTACGTAATTGTTCCAAAAGATTTGATTAGAAAATATTTTTTGGTATTCGTCTATGTGGAATACTAGTGCCAAAGATCAGTGGTTTTCACAACACGACGGGATGCTTTTTTTTCATTGACTTTTCCTCGTTTACTGAAAAGTGAATCTTTTAAATGGTGCAGTTAATCAATTAAGTGCTTTAAACTGTATAATTCTTTAGATCGCCTTAGCACGACTTTCTCTAACCGACAGTGGATGGGACGCACTGGCCGACTTGGCACTACCAGAGGTTTGTCATTCTCTTACCGTATTTAGTTTTGTACGCCTAGCAGTACCTAATTTTTATGTTATTATTAATTTTTTTGTCTTGAATTACCGAGTTATTCTTTCGAATATTGTGCAATCATTGACGGAATCAAAAATTGTCGATTTCGTTTTGAAAGAGCTCTTACATCAAACAGTTAAGGTTCTTGCTCAGCTACCACTACTGCAACCTCCGAAACAGGTATTTTTGCAACCGGCCACTGCTAACGAGTGAGTTATTCTCTCTCTATAGGCAATCTTGTACAAGAAATCGTGCTTCTCTTTTCCTAGCAATCTTAAGAGGAGCTTTTTCTTCATTTAGAAAAGATTCGCCTAGTGAACTCTTTGTGTCATCGTTTGAGGCTGTGATTCGTTTATGTTACGCGATATGTGCAAAACCAAGATGGAAGCGACTATCGTTCAAGGTTTCTGCACTTTATGGATTTCATGTTGCCTCTATGTGTTGCCCTTTTGAAATGCGATTACTGTGAAGCAACAACTTAAAATTTTTCAGGGCTTCATTGTTTGTTACTTCAGATTTTGGATACAGTACATTCTCAGAGCGAGTTACTCAGTCAGTTGATGCGAGCTGAGATCAAATGTCGTATGATGGACATTGTAGTAGCGTTGGTTCAGCACATATGGGAACACGGTAGGACATCCGGACTTCGCGCTGTTTTTGTTGTTTTATTTATCTATTTGTTTTTTCCTTGTGTTTAAGTTGTATTTTTAATGGGGATCCCAGTGGTTTGGAAAAGTCTCAACCATAAAATAGTGGTAATTTGAAGCCTAGTGAAATATACTCTGCATAGTTTATTAGTGAGAAGCATAACGACGGTCTGTAGAAAATAGGTTAATGGCTGGTTCAGTGAAGTAATCTTATAGGCCAAATTCGCATTCGTTATGGCACACGGACTTTATAATTGAACCCGAAGCCAAGCAACGCTTAGTAGTAGCTTATACAGAGCTCGTAGAGTTCTTCGTCGCTGTAGTTTCGTGACTCATTTCTTCTTCAGACAGGTTCTACTGCTCATGTTATGTTCAACCAGTATGTCAATACGTGTTTACTATATTTATACAACGTTTGTTCCTATTGGTTAGAACTCGTATGAAATGCTGAGATATTTGCAAAACGCCGGACCGCAGGTGTATGCAGTGGCGAACGAACACGCGCTGTTGTCCTTACCGGGGAGCAGCGCACTTCACCACTACACCATCCGGGTCCTTCGTCTTGCGTGTCTCTCAGCTAGTTCTATCGACCTATTGGTTATCACCTACTGAGTAACTAAAGCAGCAGATGAGAGGGATAAAGGGCGAGGGAATTAGTGAGCTTGCTCAGAAAATTTGACATCTCCATTTTTGGCTGTTACCTCAATGATACACCATTTTCAGACGACTTGACACGGGAGGTGATTGATCAGGACTCTGTGCTGAAAGAACTCCGAATCCAACCCCATGTCAATGATCTGGACGAGAAAATCGCTCATAAGCCATACTCTTTTGTAGCACCGAATCGTTTGTATCCAGAGTGTGCCCGGTGAAAAATACGGGAACTAACTGTGCTATGACAGCGCTATCAATCTAATCCGATGGATTTCCTTTTATAGAGCTATACTGCCTACCTATCTGTAAAGGTAATGCTGTAGATCTCCAAGAAATTCGGTTTGCACTAATAATACGTTATGATTTGTTGACAATGAGAATTGTTACGTTTATTCATGTTGTAACTGAGTTTTTTTGTGCCGCAAATGCGCATTTTTCGATTATAAGCGAAGAACTTGTAGTTCTCGATAATTAATGAAGAATTCAGGACGAGTTCTCATGTTCACTTTCTACCAAGCTATCGTCAGTGGTGTTTTGAAAGGTTTTATCATACACAGTCACTACGAAGTGAATTATACCGTCACAGCATTGAAATCCAAACCTACAAAGTCAATAGTCCAGTTTACAGCAGTGGTAAAATTGTAAAGGGCCTTTATTTTCCACACATCACCTGAATGTTACCTGAGGTCCGCACAGCCCAAGTGTACATCTGCTACACTTGTATTATAAGTTGTTTTCGCGGGAATTTTCAGAGGTTGGAGTATGTCGATAGAGTGGAAGTTCATAATGGCAGAACTGAACTGAAGACCATACAATTGGAATTATGGATTTGAAAACGGCAGTATGAAATTAGAACCGAAATCGTGGCGTCGTCGTTGTAAAGTAAAAAAAAATTGCCTATCAATAGAAGATGGACGAGCCAAGGATCTTTGTCTTTAAGTGGAACATGGACGGACCAAGGAGCTTTGCCTTCTAGTAGAAGACGGACAGGCTGATTGGTCAGGAGAGCCCCCTGTTTGTAAAACACTGGAACTGGTGACTACTCTTGCATTTTGCAAGTCTACTACAGTTTTTTGTGGTAGACATCAACGTATTCCGTAAGAAGTAGGTAACTGGTTTTCCGTTCTTTTTTTTTTTGTTTTGTATGACCTGTCTTTTACATCCACTGTGCGGACGGATCCCGGCGCTTCTCACATTCGATTTGTTTCCTCATAGTTCATCGTCCACGAAGGTCTTCCAATGTTTACGTGTGGCTCCTACTGCTTGAGGATTTTCCTTTCATGTTGAATGCTATTTAATGATGAAGTGGAGTCTATTCTCCTTTAAGTAGCGGGATAGCCGAGCTACAGCGTTCCCACTTGGATTTCACAGAGTGGTTTCTCCCCGGATAAGTCTGGTACCAATTTCGTGACCCCAGAGGGTTGACAGGCTTGGTGGGTTCGGAGCGAGATCGAACGGACATCATGCTGCTAATGATTGGCATAGCTACCATTGTGTTCTGCGCACTCCAGGTAACTGTTGGCTTAAGCAAATCCGTAGCATTGCAGGTGATACAGAATTGGTACCGGTGATAGGCCATTTAGTCGACCTATAGGTCACTTACAACGATTATAATGTGTTACGCAGACCTAAAGATAAACCTTTTCTCATGTACAATTCTTCGTCCTGTCGAATATTTGAAGCCACGAATGGCAAGAAGATGGGTGCTTCTGTTCATTCGTTCAGTACACAGACGGTCGCTTTCATCAGGGGTTTAGTTGCAAATTTGTGAATTCCCTGACTGACGAAGCAGGTTAGTCAACTGAACTCCTGAACAGCTCGGTCATGCTGATGCGTTTCAATGATTGTAGAACATACCGAAGACGAGCAATCCCGAACGGTTCTTCATGAAACAACGAACGACCAGAGCAACGTCTCCAACATCTCTCAGGCGTGAACGTTATCAGTCGAACATCGTGGTCGTCCTCATCGTCATTCTTCCCTCCAGGTCATCTCCCATACAGTTTCCATCCTTCGACGGGGTCAGCGTCCGATCCTCACCGGCCATGGAGTCGTTCTTCCCACCAGGTCACCTTCCATACAGTTCCCATCCCTGGCGAACTGCAGCGCCTCAATGGGGTCAGCACCCGATCCTAACCAGCCTCGGCGACCCTCGTTGAATCGACGAAGGCCCTCGCGTCGGCGGGATCGATTCTGGCCGAGGGCGCGGTGCTCCTCGCGTCGGTCGCCGCCGCCGCGCACGCACGCCCGGTCTCACGACGCCCTCGTAACATCGCCATCGATGACGTCATCATCGGATTCTGGGTCGTTGACCAAAGTTGGGATCGTCGTGGATTTTAGAAAATACCGCTAGTTTTTACGTTTTCGAAATCATTTCAAATCGTCACCGTTGCGAAGGACGTCGTCATTGTCGCCTAAGGGCCTAATTTGAATACTGCGTATAATACAAGCCTCGATCTAGTTATCCATTAGGGGAACCATCCTTAGAGTCAACGAGGTGAGGATTTATTTAGGGAAGTAAGAGCAGTTCGATCAGAAGCCTTAAGTGGTCCTTTCCTTAAATTTGTTGGAGGTCGGTTGTCTGTGGTGATTTTTTCAACTAAAACGGTCAACGAGTAATTTTCTCTTTTCTTTTTCATCAGGGCTTTTTTTGTGGTTTTAGAATGCTTGGAAAGAGTTTTACATCCTTTCTATTGATAATTGTTCCTTTTTTTTCTTTAGCGTAGTCCGATCATTTCGTTTTTTCACCGTTTTGTTTTCTGTCTTTGTTTCTTTTCTCTCTATATGTGAGAGTTTTGTTGTTTGATCACCATTATCTCCTTATCTGTTTGTTCACTTCAGAATTCGGTCGTTAATGGCCGATGAGGAGCACTCACGATCCGCCTCTTCATACGATGACGATGAATATTTTCTGGATGGAGAAGATAACGGTGAAGATTTTGAAGGTGGGTCTACCAACTGAAAGTTTCATTTTTTTTCTTTATTCGTTTTTTGTTTAAGCTGCCACATCCAATCCCAGCAGAGGATTTTTTAAACTCTCATTCGAAAGATATGCGCTTCCGAAGGCTAGTGTAAGCAGTCGAAAGAAAAAGCTATTCAGAAGAGTTTTCAAGTGGTACTTACTTACTTCGTTACTTGGATCGCCCGTGTTCACTCGTTCTGCCGGCTGCCGCAAAATTACCATTTTGTCGGAGTTTGCAGGTTTAGCTATTGTGGTTCCCTGGAATTCCGAGGTTAGCCTAGGCAATGTCTGCCCGAGATTATCACCACCACAAGCAATGGCAGCCCTTATGGATCAGAGCGAGATTTGCCACTATGCAACTACTTTGATACCATGACGGTGGTGGATCCTGATATTGGATTACTCTTAGCAGGGGTTCCTGACGGAAGCGAAGGACTCTTCACTCTGGGAGATCCTGCCGAGGGGTGAATCTCTGCGCTGTACATCTCAGCCCGAAACCCAGGAAAACCTCCCAGCCACGATAAGGCGGTAAACCGTTGGGAGGATATTTACAGCATAAGGGTTCATTTATCTAACAAACTCATTTTAATTACCAGAAATAATCATCATCAGATTCTTCATCGTAACAGAAAGTGTTTATTTAGCTTTAACGGTAATAGCTCAGTTTCAAACTGAGACTTTCTTCCCCTAAGCGGTGACAATTTGTTATCACAAAAAGACTCCAAATTTTTACACTTTCCCATCTCTCTTGTAATAGAATCCGTCCAAGGTGAAACGATTTCTTAATGCAGGTACGTTAGACGAAGAAGAGATGCTGGATGGTGATGCCGACTACACTGATGAACTTCGAGGTTTACCTTTACTCCCTTTTACTTTTGTGTTATTTGATTGAATAGCATGAAAATTTGACGGTGGAATATGGTGCACACCTGACCGTTTCAGGAATATTTTTATTTTTTCGTGGCGTAGAAATATATCGGAACTATATTGAAATTGGCAGATGTAAAAGGTGACGTGTGCTTCTTTTTTCTTAAGAACGTCCTAGTTTTTTAAGAAGGTAATGGTTACGGAAGCGTTACAATAACGAGGTTTCCTTCCTTCTCTATGAGGTTCTTTTAGAGATTTTCATAGGTTCAAAGAGGATTTGAAAGCCATTTATGTCTCCTTTAATTCTTATCACAAGTGATTTAATAGGAGTTTTCTATGCTTCTGAACTGACTAGTTTACACCTGGGATGCAGAAAAGTATTAATTAATCATCGGCCCTAACACGTTTGTGAAACTCCAGCGACACCTATGGTCCTTTCTTCTTAAGGTGTTCTCTGGTCAAAGTGGTTATTCCGTTACGGTTTTTGCTCTCTGCGTTGAGATATTTACTAGATCTATTATAAATAACGTATTCGAATTTCATTCAGCAAAGAAAACTACAAAGAGCAATGATAATGGAATAGTTGAAAATTATAGAACTGGAAGACGAGGGGTCAATGGATTTAGAAGAGCTGCGAAGGCGTTACGGATGCCCTCTATCTAGCGACGGAAGTCCAGAAGCCGAGGTTTTTTGATATTCTTCTAATATTTTCGTCCTTATTTAGAAACAAACAGCAGAAAACTTGGCCTGTTGGGCCTGTATTAAGGCGCTGTTATCATGATGATCACGTGGTTCAATAAAACGATAAATGGTGAATATCATTCGCATAGTAGTGTTATGGTAGTTTTCCGCTTATTGTGCTTTTCGTGAGTGATGAATATATAAAATTAGTTGGGTGAAATCGTTTCAGAGTTTTCGTAACTTGAAAAGTAGACTTTTTAAATCGGTATTTGTAGTGTGATAGCAGTTCTGATGTCGCAGCAGTCGCAGAAGTAGGTGAATGTGAAGCTGTGGACGTCGAACCCAGCGAGAGTGCCGAATTCTTCCATCTACCGTACGACGAACTCGATGAGGGTGATGACGCGGACGATCGAGACTATGTCCCTCCTGATCCGTGGAAAAGAGACGTGCGTTTATCTTTTTCTGCATGAACTGCTGTGCCAAGTTCGTTTTATGCCTATCGTTTTGTTTCTGTCCCATTCCACCTCGTCACGGTTTTTCGTGTTTTGTCCAATTTAATGAGAGCAGCTTTTCGTCTGCTACGGGCGTTTTGTTTTTTTGACTATGGAAATCCTTTTTTAAATAACAAGAAGACTTGAGAGGTTTTGACCTTACGGGATTGTAGAAGAGGTTTTGCTCTATTGTTCTAGGAGTATGAATAGCATGTGTGGTAGTGTAGACTATGTGTTACTATAGTCCATATTAAAAATGCAATCTTGTCGGCATTTAAAAGTATTCTGGAATTTATGTTGAATCAGTTTCGTTTTTTTCATATCCACGTATTCCATGCAATAACCATAGCAGTTAAAATGAAGTAAGGGTAAATCGTTAGTCAAATTACCCGGTAAACGAATTTTTCCAAAAAAGAGGTTTTTACAAATCGTTTGGTGTAAAGAACAGTTTTTTCGTTCTTGCTCCTCCTATTTCGATCTCATATCACCTAGATATCGATTGAATACACGCAGTGCTGGAAAAAAATATCTGGAATCCATTAAATTGAGTATAGAAACCATACGGAATGGAATGGCTTGTTATACTTACTCCAAAAAAAGTAGTGGAACTTTTCAATCATGGACAAAATCGGTGCACAATTAGAAGTAGCTCTCGTTAAATATAACAGAATAGAAAGTTTTATATTTCCTTCTGTTTGATCCGATAAAAGCTCATAAAAACTCGCGGCTTCGATCAATCTCTGAGCGATGTGCCGTGCATTCGACTTCAGTGAGCATCGTTGGAGGTGATTGAATATCTAGCCTTTACACCGATTCGTGGAGGCCTAACTATGTGTCTAGCCAGTGCTGCTGTCCTTCCAAACAAGTTTGGTGCCAATTTGTCGAACCCGGAGGGATAGAAGGCTTGGTGAACCCTGAGGTGCCTCTGTCGATCCACATCCCATGCATGGCTCCTCCGACCACTGCGCTACCCGCACCCCTGTTTGCTCTTATAATTGTATCATTTTTAATAGTTTCAGTAGCTTAACAACTGAGGCTACCGCATTTGTCTACATTTTTAGTGGTTTTCGGTAGAATAACCTCGACATTATCACTTTTAGGTCCGTATTGATGCCGGTCGCTATCAAGCTACCGTTCCAGATTCCATGAATGATGTGACACCGTTGGCCTTGAGTGACAATGATACTGAACTGCCAACGTTGCCGAATCTTGCACAAGGTGGCGCGCTCTGGATGCCGTCACAGGACTTGTCAGATTCTAACACAGACCGATATTTGGCGGACATTGTTGAACTGCGAGCCGCTCACGGCCAAATAGTCTCTGATCGATACTCAGTGGTGGGTGTTGTTACAATTGGCCATCCAATAGAAGCTTCTTTGTTCTGGAATTCTTCTGCAGTTCTTATATGCGCTATTTCATTTTTATAGCGAACTGAGTTTCAGACCAGAGACGACGAAGATGCGTTGTGTGCATTATATAGGCATAGTTATAGTATCGAAAAAGCGAAAGTAAGTGCTTTTTGATTCGTTTTTTTTTAAACTTTCAATTTGGTACTGCACATGCTTGTGAATGTGATTTTCTGAGGAGCGAGTAACAATATAAAGTCTTTTTAGTATAATTTTTGTTTCTATTTATGACTCCACTCTTTTGTAGGAGGAGCTCTGGTAAAATTTGAAGCCAATGGTCTTTTTTATTCCTTTGAAAGCGTGCTTTTTCTGAAAGAAAAATCCGCTTTCTTGTGCGTCGTTTTTAGTTTGTATCCTCCTTCTAAGGGGTCATGTGGCGCAGTGGTCGGAGGCGCCCTGAAACACATATGAAATCGGTTCCCGAGCTCCTGACCCACTAACCCCTCTATCCCTTCCGAGTCGGCAAATTGGTACCAGACTTGTCTGAGAGGAAAGCGGCACTGGCTCGATACCATCGATACATATCAGTAAGCCATTGCGAGCCATTGTAAAGGGCCAGATATGCATTCAGTCACCTCCACCGATGTTCGGTGAAGTCGATGCATGGCGCATCCCTCAGGGATTGATCAATGCCGGGAGATTTATCCTTTATTCTTCTATCCTTTTTCTAAGTAAGAGTTAACTTCGTTTTATTTCAGAACAAATTTCCTTCCGTCTTGATCATTGTACTTATTTGTATGGTCAAATTTTTTTAAACATAGACAGATTCTAGGCGTCGTTTCCGTTCTCACGTGTGAATCAACCATTTCGTACAGTTCGAGAAGGCGCACTAGAATGGGACCTTACAGAACGTGATCTCTTTGAGCGAGGTATCGCGATGTATGGCAAAAATTTCTTTGTCATACAAAGAAAGCTGGTGAGTTCTTCTTTCGTTTTTACTACTCATAGTATTTAGTGCGGTACCAGTGTAATCGAAATCTGTATCAAATGCGCGGAGTTGATAGTTGGTTGACTGATGATCGACTATTTCTACTGATGGACTGGTCTAGTTGAACTGATGCAAGTTGGTATAGTTGCCGTTGTTGTTGTTGTTGTCGATCCTCTCATCGTCGTTGTTGTTGGTCGATGGCTGACGCTTCGGCGATTTAGCCTTCGTTGAAGTCGTCAGAGACTGGCCGTCCCATTAGTAAAAACAAAACAGTAAAAAGTAAAAACACGGCTCTGATGAAGGCGAAGCCGCGGAAACGTCAGCCATCAACTAATAACAACAACGGCAACTTATACCAACCTCCCATCTGCGGAACAAGATCAGTTCGTAAGAACATGTAAATACATATATTGATAATTCATGCCGAAGTTTATAGAAGGTCGATCTTTTGAGTTATTCCGACTGACATCAGTACACGGCTGTGAATACCGTCATTTTGTCGAAAATGGCAAAATCACAGTAGTGCCTAGGCTCAAACTGGACCACTTGAAGCCTTTTTCCTTTCTTATTTGTGGTTTATATTGTTTTAGAATATATCCAAGCACTGAAGTTGCATCATAGATAAAGATTTTTCCAGTTACCGTATAGACGAGTAGGAGAGCTTGTTGAATACTACTATTTCTGGAAGAAATCGGAAAGGTTTGTTGCTGGTTTTCATTCCTGAAATGTCATTTTGACGTTAAGACGGTGATGTTTTGAAGCCATGGTTCCAACCTAGCTTGAATATTCGCACACTTTATTTTAATTTTAAGTATCATGATTTAGATATCAACTGTTCCGGAAACCTACGGTACATAGTGAACCCGACGTGCGCTATTCCTTAGCACCATCGTATCACCCTCCATGTATGCCGTATCCATTTGATGGAGCGTTGCCCGAAGTTAGTGGCACTAAAGTAGACAACGAAGGTGTACTTCCTGATATGGGCAGCAGTAACGATTCCACATCAGAAGAACAAGTAATGGATCTCAATCCTACCGCTTCGTCACGACCTATCACACAATCTGTAGCAGCGCAAATAACTACAGGCGCCGACGATGCTAAAAGTGAACGTGGCAATATTTGGTGGACTGATGACGTGCCTTTGGCGCAAGTATGATCTACAGTATGATTGTTGTTATTTGTATTTGTTTTCATGTATATTTTTATTTTTACGCCTATTTATTTACCATTCATAATGTACTATTTCCTTATGGAAACCCTAAGTCTGTCACAAATATGATCTTTTTTGACTTAAGTCGTTTGAATTGTATAGTACTGTTTCCTGGTGATTAATTCACTGACAACGACAATGAACATGCAACATTTATACAACTAATTTAAAAAACTTGGTAAAAAAAAATACAGTATGGGTCTAAGTATGCGCAGGTTAGTGATCTTAATGCTTCTCAGCCTTTTGTGAAACCGCATATTAGGTCAATTGAAAAAGCCAAGAATCTCTACAGTGAATGTGCCTTTAGTTGGTGTTTACTCGAATTTTCAGGATTGTTTCCGAAAGTTTTGCAGTGTTAGTAGACGATTCATACTCCGCAGAAACCGCTACCTTACTTTTTCTGGACTACACCTACTAAAGTCGACAACGTGCCGTCGTGATTTATACGCTAGCTGACTGTATCACCTACAGTTCTGTTGATCGTCGAGTGACTCGAGCGGACGTTAGTAAATGTTTCATATTTCTTTGTTGCGTGCAAGAGTGGCCGAGTGGGTTCTGCTCGCTCGGGACTCGTTGAACATCATGCCTCTCTTCTAGGCTTCTCGTGAAGGACTAACCATCAAGTCGGTGGTCTTTCTGCAGTAGGCTTGACATCCTGGGAGATCTATCCACTAACGGTCAGCTGATGTTACGTGCAATAATTACTAATTAAACATGGTAATAGACTTATATATAGGAGGCTCATTTTACAAATGGAGGGAAACGGTTTTCTTCTGAGCACCTTTGATTACGTGTTGAGTAGGGATATTCATCTATAGGCACTATCACAGACATTGACATGCATAAGTAGATAAGTTTCTTTTTAACAAGGTTGACGTCGGTAGGGTTCAGTTTGTGAAGATCATTCTTATTATGGTGTTGCTCCATGGAACTTTTTCTTCATTTACGGCAATGGTATGTTAGCTGTCTGGCAAGTAATGGTTCGTACTGAGCTTATCGTATAGTAAGACCGATGCCATACTATGTATGTCGGTGTGGTAGTACTGCAAGTATTAATTAAGGAGTGTAGGATTCTGCCAGCTTAGGCTACTTCTTAGAAGGTTGGGTGCGCAATAGTGGGGAAGCGCCTTTGGTCCCGTCCAATAGAATGGAGAGGATCCACAGTTCCGACCGACCAAAGGTTATAGACACTACTGTTATACATATAGCAGGTAGTGAAACGTGGAATGAACATAGTACAAGTATCACACTGGACCGGTGTCAGCGAGTGACTGCTTAGGTTCCAGCGATGAGAAGCGAGCGCAGGTGGAGCCAATTTGACTTGTTCATGACAATACTGAAGATAGAAAATGTTGTTCCTGATGATATTCAATAGTGTAAAAGCTATTTGGCAAGTAATGAAACCGCAAAGACATTTAATATACGCTAGTTGGGGCAGTCGTTCATCAGAGGCAGGACCAGGACGGAGCAACGAGTAGATTTACTTCATAGGCACTGATAGACAGGATGTGGCTAAAGAACTGTTAGAATGAGCCTACTAATGAGTTTCTGGATGCAGCATATCCTATTTAGATTCACTTCTCATGTAGTTCTGACGTTGTTGGGGTATGTGGATGTGATATTCTGATGATACATTATCACCTACATTTTTTTAAACGAAGTTCCATTACATACCGCTACTAGTCTACATACGCTACTAGTCACCAATGTGGTGACTCCGTCCTAAATTCTCACCATGGGAAGAAGAATAGCGTTTCTTCAACCTGATCATCCATCGCTACTAGCGCTGTTGTTGAACCTCATGATGACCCGACAAGTTCGGAATCGTCAAATTTCTGTGGCTTGAAGTGAGACAAAATCATGCTAGCAGTATGGCGATTACAGTTACCCCCGATTCCACTTTGAAGTCTTTTTTGGCATAAAAATCAATGCATTGAAGATGTTGAGAGAAAGGCGAAACAAAGAATACGCATGGTGTGATGAATACGTTAGCCCCTTGAAAGGGTAATAACGGGGTTCTATCCTCGCCGTAGACACCTGCCCTCTGGAGTTTTGCAATTACCTCAGCCTCATTGTGATTGGTTTTTTTCACTGTCAGCAACCACCACAGCTTATTATGGTAGTGGTAGTTAGGTTCAGAATATTCTGACGTCGTAGCTGACAAATTTTACTCTCATGGTGGCAAATCTCCCTCTGATTCACAAGGGCTGCGATGCCTGTGGTTGTGGCGACCTGGGCTAGACTTTGGCCTGGCTGACCTAGGAACTCCAGCCAACCACAATGGCTAAACCAGCAAGACTCCGAAAATTGGAAATTTTGCTGGTGCCCGCACAACCACTGAAGACGGGCCACCCAAGTATCCACGTATCTAAGTTGGCAAATTAGCGACCATATTAAAGTTTCTGTTTCTTTAGACAGAATCAAATCAAAAAAATCAAAGATGTCGTTCTGTACGTCAAACACTCGAAGATAAGGTGGGCCGAACACGTAATGCGTATGAATGACAACCGATGGACAAGAGCCGTTAGTTACTCGATTCCTCGGGATGTTACACACACTGCAGGAAGACCGCCGACCCGATGGTCAGAGTTCTTCACAAAGAGCCTTGAAGAAAGATATGATGCTCGACGAGTCCCTAGATGGAGCAGAACCCACTGGACTACTCTTGCACGCGACAGGGAAAAATGGAAGGTTTACTGGCGCCCGCTCGAGTCACTCGACGATCAACGGGTCTACAGGTGATACAGGTGATTAAAGTTTCTGACTTAGGGTCGTGAATGGTACGCCAGTTATTAAATCGTATACGGTATGCGATGTGATTCCAAAGCTCTACATACAGCAAACTACACAATTTTCACCTTCTGTGCTTGATACTGGATATCGGACTGACTAGCTTTAGAAAACAACGTACTTGTACTAACTAGCGCGTTGCCACTTAATAAATGTTCTACTGGTTCTGCAAAGTTTTTCTCTCTTTGAAGTTGAAACAGAGGCGCGATGATGCCTGCACAGGAGGAATGGATATCTTCTGTTATTGAAGACGATATGATGTCATCCTATATTCTATCTATTGTTAATGCAGTTTTGTTGACGAGTGATTCTATGGAATCACCGCCTTCCAGGCTCGATTCAAACAAAATGGACGTTGCAGTCGATTATGGGCGAAGTACAAAACATAGTTATTGACTGGCATCGTAGCAAATCGTTGGGATTTGTCGAAGCTTGTGTGACCATGAACGTTAACACATTTCAAAGGAGCACTTCTTTTACTAACAGAATCCATTGATAGGGCTAAAAGAGGAAATGGTAGTTATGCGCTTCTGAGAGCAGAAGCTCTCGAAATCCAATCTGGTAGTACTCGAGCGATCTGAATATGAAATATGAAAAGTTTAGGAAGCGAATTATTAGTTTATTTTTGCTCTCGTTATTATCACCATGTTAATTCGTCCACTTAGATATTTCCGTTACAGATTCTTTTTCCGAAGATTATATTGCTGTGTATGGCAGTCAATGATTCAAATCAGTGCCAGAAGAGACCGCAACCTTTCAAAAGCGTCACCATTCTCTCGGATATAGTTGAGGTATCCAATAGCAACTCCGGAAGCTATTATATTTTGTGCAATCCTAATGCTCTCTTCCAAAATCAACTGTTCCCCGCTTCATAGATCGACTTTCCAAAGGTGATCCTGCAAAATATAGGTATTGATTATTTACCACGTGTCCCAATCACTGCTTGGTGTTTATACTATTTTTTTACTATTCTCATAGTTATTACTATTCTGTTTGCTTTTTAGTTGACTAGTAATCCATTCTCCGCATACATGTCGATCAATTTATTAAACGATCAATACGTATCCATTATGTATGTCGTGCATTAACAGTAACAGAGTGCAGAAATGCATACGACACTTAGAAATTCCTCTTCACTGTTAAATTTATATTTATTCACTCATGTTTGTGTTGATGGTTGTTCACCATCGTATACACTTAAGATTTGTTCTTGATTAGATTCCACCACCAAAGGGCGCGTGTGGCGCAGTGGTCGGAGGCGCTCTACAGCACAAACGTGGAATCGATTCTCGCGCCCATAGCCCACCAAGCCCTCTATACCTACGGAGCCGGCAAATTGGTACCAGACTTGTCTGGAAGGATAGCAGCACTGGTGCGATACATCGGCAGGCCACCGCGAGTCATTGTAAAGGCCAAATATGTATTCAATCACCTCCAAACGATGCTTAATGAAGTCGAGTGCATGGCGCATCCCTCTGGGATTGATCAACGCCGCCAACTTTATCTTTTTTTAGATTCCACTATTTTTAATAATATAGATTCATGTGTGATCTTTCTTTTTGGCTCCCTGATTTTGTAACGAAATGGTTAGCGGCGAAGTGTAGCGGTTCAGATGCTTTCTCGAAATTCATTTTGAGATGGTGAGATTTACATGGTGCATTGGTCGCTTGAAAGGACCTAACAACAGCAAATTTCGCAGTTCAACTTCACAGCTACCACTTCAGCTTGGTACCGCTTTCGTGAGTTCGCAAATTTTAGTTCCACGAAATTCTCTTTTCCGCTTTATTTAACCATGGCCAACTCTCTGCGAGTTCTAAAACGGCGTATCACGCATTACACTAGAAAGCTTGAGACCACATTAACGCGTCTCAAAGATGAGCAATTGGAAATGCTCAGTACATCATCCGCTAATGGAGAGATAACAGAAACCTTCATATGTGACAGCATTTACAAACTAAATGAAGGAGTTCTCACCATCGAAGGAGCTATCGCAAAGCTAAACGAAGCACTGGTCCATTATGAAACAAAGTCTTCAGAGCGCGATCTAACACTAGAGAGCGATGAAGGCACCGAAATACATTGCACCAAAGCAGAGGAAATAACCGAGGCAGCAGAAGACTACTTAGTAAAACTCAGAAGTCGTATAAAAAGCTTTG